GTAACATAGCCAGAATCTACAATGGAAGATCTCACAACTATGAACCAAAGTCATCATTCATAAAGAACTTTGTCAAGTCCTAGAGCAGACATATACATGGAAGTGCAGAAAGCATCACTAATGAAAGTGTAACCAGAAACCCACTGCAGGGCAACGGTGCTAAGCATTGTGCCATTACACTTAGAGACATGGGGTGAACCATACAAACTATATTGCCACACCCCAGATGAACTCCAGGCAATTTTTGAATGTATTTGGGAGAGGAACAACTGTAGGTAGGTTTTTATTACTGTTTGTGTCTCCACTGACCACACAGGAAGTGAGGGGAACCTACCCAATGGGGACAAGGACATGCATGACACTCTTACAACAGTTCTTTCCTGTTCTATAAAAGGTGATTTTATTAGTTTGTCTTTGCACAGATTTTCTCTTTTCCTGTCTTCATGACCACACAGGATGCAAATAGAAACCTCCCCAGAGGGCCTCAAACAACAATAGAAAACCTACCAAATAGTACCACCCATGCATTCCATGTGGGCAAACATGGCCCTTCGCACAGGTGTACACTTAAGTACGCTTGGGTGAACCAAGCCTAACAATGACATTTAATCTGCTATATCACGTAATTGAATGATCAATGTAAATATGCATATCTCACACCTGATGGGCTGCTGGGGAAGCTGAAAATGATTTTAGTAGTCAACACTACTACAGTGATAGCTTTGATCTTCCAAGACCTGCTCGGGCACTGACCATAGGAAGTCGCTCTCTCAGCACTGCGGCCATTCACAGAACTGCTTCTTTTTTTTTTATGAATACCAGACATTCTCTGAATGTAAGAGATGGAGATGAGGGGCAGTGATATTGTGATCTTCACCTTGTCCAATCAGAAAATCTTGTATTCATTGGCTATGAATGTAGTAGCAAGCGAGCAGCCCCCTGTGGGTAGTATGCAGAGGGGAAGCCGCTAACACGGAACCCAGAAATTGCAGCTGTACTACATTGATTTGGCTCATAAGGTATGAGATAAGAATGCTTTAATTGTGCCAAGCTGGACCAATGTAACTGTGCAATCCAAATCATTGTTAGGGTTCAGCTTTAAAGTGGTTGTAAAGGCTCATTGTTTTTTGCAGAAGGAGCCATTGGCTACTGCCACTGTCAGTCACAACCAATGAGGAGAGAGAAGCAGTGGGACTGAGCCTCAGCTTAGTGTGTGAATGGACAAGCAGAGCAGTGGCTCGGGAGCCCCATAGCAAGCTGTCTGCTTTGGAATGAAGCCTAATACAGAAGGTGTGTTACTGACTAGATCACCAGGGGAAAAAAAGGCTAAAAAAACCCTAATGCAGCTTCCACATCTAATGATTGATAAGCTGCAATATAGTACATTTTTGTTTTTTGTTTAATAGCACTTTAAGATCAAAGGGAGTCAGTGGTTGTTGTGCGGCATCCATTCCTACTTTCACCTCTGATGCTGAAAAGAAAAAGGGGCCATGCACAGATCCTTTTTGTGCAGCAGTTGTATGGCTGTGAGTACAATGACCCTATAAAACAGTTTTTTATTATTTGTTATTATTTATTACAGGTACTCATTTTACACAGCGTTTTACATATACAGTCATGGCCGAAATTGTTGGCACCCTTGATATTTCTCCAGGAAATCATGTATTTCTCACGAAACGTATTGCATTAACACATGTTTTGCTATACACATGTTTATTCCCTTTGTGTGTATTGGGACAAAACAAAAAAAGGGGAGGAAAGAAAGCAAATTCGACATAATGTCACACAAACCTCCAAAAATGGGCTGGACAAAAGTATTGGCACCCTTTCACAACTGCGGATAAATAAGAATGTTACAAGCATGTGATGCTCCTGTAAACTCACCTGGGGCAAGTAACAGGTGTGGGCAATATAGAAATCACACCTGAAAGCAGATAAAAAGGAGAGACGTTCACTTAACCTTTGCATTGTGTGTCTGTCTGTGCCACACTAAGCATGGACAACAGAAAGAGGAGACGAGAACTGTCTGAGGACCTGAGAACCAAAATTGTGGCAAAATATCAACAATCTCAAGGTTACAAGTCCATCTCCAGAGAACTAGATTTGCCTTTGTCCACAGTGCGCAACATTATCAAGAAGTTTGCAACCCATGGCACTGTAGCTAATCTCCCTGGTCGTGGACGGATGAGGAAAATTGATGAAAGATTGCAACGCAGAATAGTCCGGATGGTGGATAAGCAGCCCCAAACATGTTCCAAAGACATTCAAGCTGTCCTGCAGGCTCAGGGAGCATCAGTGTCAGCGCGAACTATCCGTCGACATTTAAATGAAATGAAACGCTATGGCAGGAGACCCAGGAGGACCCCACTGCTGACACAGAGACATAAAAAAGCAAGACTACAGTTTGCCAAAATGTACTTGAGTAAGCCAAAAGCCTTCTGGGAAAACGTCTTGTGGACAGATGAGACCAAGATAGAGCTTTTCGGTAAAGCACATCATTCTACTGTTTACCGAAAACGGAATGAGGCCTACAAAGAACAAAACACAGTACCTACGGTAAAATATGGTGGAGGTTCAATGATGTTTTGGGGTTGTTTTGCTGCCTCTGGCACTGGGTGCCTTGACTGTGTGCAAGGCATCATGAAATCTGAGGATTACCAAAGGATTTTGGGTCGCACTGTAGGGCCCAGTGTCAGAAAGCTGGGTTTGCGTCCAAGATCTGGGTTTCCAGCAGGACAATGACCCCAAACATACGTCAAAAAGCACTCAGAAATGGATGGCAAAGAAGCGCTGGAGAGTTCTGAAGTGGCCAGCAATGAGCCCAGATCTAAATCCCATTGAACACCTGTGGAGAGATCTTTAAAATTGCTGTTGGGAAAAGGTGTCCTTCCAATAAGAGAGACCTGGAGCTGTTTGCAAAGGAAGAGTGGTCCAAAATTCCGGGTGAGAGGTGTCAGAAGCTTATTGATGGTTATAGGAAGCGACTGATTTCAGTTATGTTTTCCAAAGGGTGTGCAACCAAATATTAAGTTAAGGGTGCCAATACTTTTGTCCAGCCCATTTTTGGGGTTTTTGTGTGACATTATGTCATATTTGCTTTTCTGCCTCTGTTTTATATTTGTTCCAATACATACAAAGGGAATAAACATGTGTATAGCAAAACATGTGTTAATGCAATACCTTTTTTGTGTGAAATACTTGATTTTCAGGAAAAATATCAAGGGTGCCAACAATTTCGGCCATGACTGTATATTGTACATTCACATCAGCCCCTAACCCTCAAGGGGTGTACAATCTAAAGTCCCTAACTTACATTCATACATACACATACTAGGGACAATTTAGACAGGATCCAATTAACCTAACATGTTGGGGTTTTATTTATCAGGTTTGCTATAAATCCCATTAGATCAGCAATTTATGAAATACCCAGACCAGTCCATCTGGCACCAATAACTATGCCACATTCAAAGTCACTTAAATCCCTTTTCTTCCCCATTCTGATGCTCAGTTTGGATGTCAGTAAGTTGTCTTTGCCATGTCTAGATGCCTAAATGCATTGAATTGGTGCCATGTGATTGGCTGATTAGCAATTTGTGTTACCAACCAATTGAACAGGTGTAAATTATAAAGTGGCTGGTGAGTGTATATTTAGGCTTCGTGCTTACTAGTGTCTTTTATAAGCTCCAAAAATGCTAGAAAAAAAGCTGGATGAAAAACGCTGATAATAGCATTTTTATTCTGGCTTGTAGTAGCCTTTTACGAGTGTTAGAATTTTTTTCTGGATAAATGCTCCCAAAAATTCTACAAAAAAGTTTTTTTGCTGCTTTATAGTGCAGAAGGTATTTGTAAAGAAAGGCTATAACATTAAGCAAAACATCTGCTTGTCTAAGCCACCAATTAGATTTGGGTCAGTTCCTGACTAGCAGGTTGCCCTTAATGGGTTCCCCAACATAAACAGGCAGATCTTGAGAGCTGCCTAAGCATCAATCAGTGCAAGCGCTGTGGACAGATGAGAATAATTATTGAAGACTGGCCAACAGGTGAGGCCAGCCATAGATGAGTTGAAAATCGTCATTCAAAAACGAGAATAGCTCATATGATTGTGCCATCAATTATTTCGATTTTCTAGAAAAAAAAAACAGCATGTTGGATCAGGCACGTTCAATTGTGACACAAAAATTGCATTTCGCAGCTGGCACGCTAATGATGCAAAAAATGAAAGTTTTGACTATCAACACACATTTCGTTCGGGTTTTGACTCAACTATGGCTGGCTTAAGATGTGGACCTAGGACTGGAGGCTTTATCCTACCCAAAGCTGGACAAAGCCTTTGGGCTCCATGACAGACACCGAAGCTTAAGTTCTGAGAAAACAAAAATCTTCTTACCAGAAACAAACCCTGGAGCACCTCACCATGTGTAGGTGAGAAAATTAAGTGACACATATACACCTCACAGGTTGCATTAAACGGTGGTTGGATAATTTGGAAAATGATAGACTAGAGCAGAGTTTCTCAACCAGGTTCCATGGATCCTTGGGTTTCTCCAGAAGTTGCTAAAGGTTCCTTGAGCAAAGAGCAATTTCTGCCTCTTAGATAAGCTCCCGCTGACACCATTGCTCTTTTTAGCTATCTTTAAGGGGGTAATTCTTCCCAATGTCCACAAGTGTAAAGAACATCCTTCAAAATGCCCATCACACTGATGTATCATGAGTTGTAGATATAGTAATTTGTAGCAGGGGATCCCTGAGACTGAAAAGTTATTTCAAGGGTTCCTCTGTGTTGAACAGGTTGAGAAAGGCTGGACTAGAGGTATGGCACAGTTTATTACATTTTACAAATTTAGTAAAACTTCTTTCTTATAAGCTAGAAACAGGTTAATGAAGCTTTTTCCTATATGCTTGAAACAGGTTAATGAGTAAAAATGTATCTACATGCTTCTGCAGACTAAACAGTTTTTCCTGTTTGTTCCTTTACAGAGTCTTATGCTTAAATCAGAATGTGCACTTCAGAAGACATAGCAGACAGTCTTCACGGAGAGAGCCTTCTCTGTAGTCTAAATGAGCAGCGTATGCAAGGTTTCTTGTGTGACGTAACCATTGTGGTTGAAGATACAAAATTCAAAGCACACAGAAATATACTGGCAGCCTCCAGCCTGTACTTTAGAAACCATTTTCGGAGCCAGAGCATATTAATCCAGGGACATGTCTTGGAGCTCAATGATTTGAAAGCAGACACATTTACTGAAATATTGAACTTTATTTACAGCTCAAAGATTGCTGTGAAGAAAAAGGAGACCCTGACTGACCTTGTAGATGCTGGTAAAAAGCTAGGCATAACCTTTTTAGAAAACATCAAAGCTTCCAAAAAGTCTTCTGCGGTTGCTTGCTCAACTGAACCTGAGGGAAAAGCACCACCTGCATTTTATCGAGGAGAAAATGGACTGAAATCGGAGACTGTGGACAAAAAGGGAGATGACCCAGCTATTGCTAATGGACCAAGAATCACCAATGCCTTTTCTATTTTGGAAACTGAAGTCAATGGCTTTTCTCCTCTTGATCTAAGAGCAAATTTTAAAAAGAGCACAGGCCCCACTGAAGAGGTGCACAGTGGTGGTAACTGCGAGAATGGTGTGTGCAATGATGGAGAGCCAGTAAACACATTGGCTGAGCACTCCTATGCAGTGTCTTCTGGTGATGCATCATATAAAAGAGACTCTGTATTTGACCATGGCAATAAAGGTAGCCTTACAAGAGATCGGGAATGCACAACTCCTGGTACAGTTACTACCAACCAGGAGGCCAAATCAGCCAACAGCATGCCGGTGTTAGAACCTCAGTGTATTAACCCCAAGCAGTCATTCAGACCTGTACCTCTAATAGTGTAAGTTGCTCTTCAGAGCAAACTGCCAACCAAACTGAATTCTACAGCCAAAGGGAAGATGAAAGCACCTTACCACAACTTCCCCCTGGTAACTCACCTGCCACCCAGTCTTTCTGTGATGCTGGCCTATATCCTCTTCCTAAAAAGCACCATGTGACTCTTAACTGCAAAAACTGCAGCAAAGAATTTGCACACTTTAAACGCCTACAGCGGCATGAACAAATCTGTTTTAAGGTTGTGCACATGGACAGAGATTTGAGGATACCCACAACAATCTTTCACAAGGTGCCTCAACAGAGAACTACTGCACTCCTACAGAATCTACAACTAACCAGAATGCTCTGACAAATGGCTCCTCATCTGCAACAGACCACTTTGTTAAAATAGTAGATGATAAAATATTTTATGTCTGCATTGTATGCAAAAGAAATTATTTAACTCTATCCAGTCTTCGACGGCATTCAAATGTCCATTCATGGAGAAAATCATACCCTTGTCATTATTGCAACAAGGTATTTGCCTTAGCTGAATATAGAACCAAACATGAAATCTGGCACACTGGGGACCGAAGATATCAGTGCATATTTTGCTTAGAAACATTCATGACTTACTATATCCTTAAAAATCATCAGAAATCTTCCCATGGCATTGACCCAAGACTGGGGGGTGGGAAGTAAAGCAAACAGGGGCCTCAAGCCAAGCATCTATCCTTACAAACTATATAGACTTTTACCCATGAAGTGTAAAAGACCTCCATTGAAAAACCCTAGAACAGCTTCAGCAGCACACTTCCAAGTTCAAAATTCCTTTACTACACCCACAGTTGTCCAGAATGCTCTAAAATCACAATCATTCTCTTTGAACAGCCAGGAGCCATTTTCTACCACATTAGATGGTCCATCACAAAATGTGACAAATTCAACAACAACCCAGGACACTTGGCCTTTTGATATAATACAGTCTGACAAAAACACAAATGTCTTGCCCGTTAGTAAAGGTAATTCTCCTTCACATGTTTCAGTCTCAACATTGAAGCAGAGTGGCAGTACACCTGGTCCACAATTTAAAGAAAATAAGAATATTCCATCTGTTATTAATGCTAGCAATTCTGCACCCTCGGTGATCATGCACAGCAGCAGAGTTTCCTCTGTGATAATGCATGGCAATGCAATAACTGGTACAGCAGCTGCAAATGGGATAGGGTGGAATCCCAGCCGGACCATTGTTTCACCAGAAAAAGATACCAGCCACGAAAGTAACCCTGAGGCAACGGAGGCAGATACTGAGATGGAATCCCCAATAGGGTACAAAAAATGGCAATGCTCACCAAGATGAGCGGGAATTATCTCTTCCTGCACCTTCATCTAAAAATAACAAAAGTGTTATTCGTGAAGGGAATAAAACCGAAACATACATAGCCAAACCAGCCCTACCTGGAACTCTTGTCAATAGTGGAATTGCTCCTCTTTGCCAAATCACAGTAAAAATTGGAAGTGAAGCTTTGGTGAAAAGGCAAATCTCCGGGTCATCTCTGTTCTTCAGGAAAAGTGGAAGACCAAAGCATCCGGAGCCTGAGAAAGCATGGCTGGATTCAGATGATGACAAAAAAGAAAGATGCTCCATTCGACTTCGAAGATCAGATAGTCTCCAAATGGAGGAGATGTGTGATGATGCTAGTGACCAAGATGTGTCTGACAAACCATGGAGACCTTACTACAACTATAAGCCAAAAAAAAATCAAAGCACTTTAAGAAATTCAGGAAATGTTGAAGAAAAGGAAAAAACATAGTAGACCTAGACCTACTGATGAGAATGTAAGTGAAGTTGACACCAAATGCTCGTCTGGAGAGGCCATTGATGAAAATACAAATGGGGCAGAAGACTCCCCAGAGACATTCGATTTTGAATGTCCTCCCGAAAAATCAATTGAGCAGGAAAAGACAGTTGAAGAGGAGGAGGAAGTTGAGCAAGGAGTGGCTGCTACAGAGTGGCAAATGGACACCAAGGCTTCCTTTTGTGAACTGTGTCAAAAATCCTTTAGGAATCCTTCAACACTGAAGGTTCACATGCGTTGTCATACTGGAGAGAAGCCTTATTCATGCAAGGTATGTGGAAAGTGCTTCTCCTTTCCTGGAAACTTAAGCAAGCATGAACATATCCATCAGGTTGGGAAAAACTTCACGTGTCAATTTTGCAAAAAGACATTTTTATTGCATAAAACTTTGAAAAAACATGAGAGGATTCACACTGGAGAAAAAATGTATGACTGTAAGTTCTGCTCGCAGCAATTCCTCTACCTTACTTCAAGGAACAATCATGAGCAAAAACATTTAGAAGAGCAGAGTGAAAAAGGGTTTGTTTGTGTCCAGTGTTCCAAAGTTTGCAAGACTGCTGCCGCCCTTGTGATGCACCAAAAGAAACACTATTTTAGGGGACTAAAGCATAGGGACGGAAAAGACTTACAACCATCTGCTGCAGAAATATGCACCTGGGGTGGTGCTGCAAGTAGCATTTGTAATGATCCTAAAATGACTGGGGAAAGGAGATCTGTAAGCATGCCTGAAAGTTTCCCTCCTTCCTTTGATGACTGTGAAGCCCCACTGTTGTCTTACAGCAGTGGTGTTACAGAGGTCATACCCCAGAATGTTTGCACTCCAAGCCCTGTAGAGAATGTAAGTACCATTGGGGAAACTGACTCCAGTCATTTCATGACTCCACCTCCACTACCACCTGTTGCATTACACAGCAGTGTCCTAATGGAGGTCCCCAAGGGCTGGAAGCATTGGAAAGCAAGGCACTATAACCTGGAGGAAAATTTGAACTCTGATCATTCTTCCTTAAAAGAGAGCACTAAGACTTTCACAGAATTAAAGACAATGACAAGTTTTGATAACCCATTTGTCCCATAGATGATTGTGGTGAAACATTTTAAAACAATCACAAGCTATTTTTTGTTCATTAACTCTTTGGCTGTTAATGGACAGTTACAGGCTCATAGCAGCATACACGGTTTTAAGGACCAAGTTAATCTAAAACAAGAAGATTATGTATAGAAGACGTACTAATAACATTCACAAATATATATGTAAAAGTTCACAAATCTGTACAGAAATTAAGACCCCTTCAAGGGTACCATTTGACGCTAAAGAATGCTTTGCCATGGCAGTATTCTTCAAGTGCATTACTGGACAGGAATTCTTTTCTGTATAGCAAAATACCATTATACTAGATATTTGAAACTCTGATAAACGCCACACATTTTTCCATATTTATTAGTGAATGTTATTAAAACACTTTTATATGAAAGAGCTGGTACATTTTAGTTTATTGGCCCTTTAATAAAAAATTCACGTGTTAATAAGTGTTAGTTTCCCTGAGCTGTACATCTTTGCACTAGTTCTATGTATAAATGTCAGCTTATTACATGTTTTCTTGCTAGCAGCTAGCCGGGCAACATATTCTGTACAGTTTGTAGTACAATATAAGTTTCTTAAAGTGGCAGTCACCTATTGCGCTTACCAGGGGACCCAGATAAACAGGAGATTCCCTTCCCTCCTAATGAAGTGTACTTTGTTCTTAAGATGTTTGATAAAATCCATAATAAAAAATAAAATATCAGTGTCATATAGCGCTACTCAGCAGTGAATACACAAGTACTCTTTGACCGTCCATGCTCACTTAGATATTTTAATGTTTAATGAAGGTATTTTTGTGTGGACTGCTTCTTTAAATGCTATATATTATACTACACACAGAAAGCACTGTACAGCATTATATAATGTAATTATTGTGTTATTTAGAAAACAGCTCATTGCAACCAGGGACAAAGGAAGAATTATGTCTTGTACAACTGAACAGCATATAACATATAGTGAATGATATTGTTAACACAATTAAACAAAATATCATCATTTGTGAATTGCCAGTTCAAAAAATTACATTCTGTGACGTTAATATTGGATATTAAAGCAAATAGATTATAACTGTAAAAAAAAAAGAAAAAATATGATATAAAATAAGGTAATTTTGTCTATGCAACCAAAGGATGTTTTTACTTTTTTTTAAATTAAAAACAGGATTTCTGTTTCAGAAGGTAATCTTCCATAAGCTTTTGGCAGGTCCATGTCGTAACATATAGGGGTCTCCACCTCCTACATTGTCTTGAAAACTGGTATTTGGGGTTTTACCTAAGAGCAATCTGCTAGTGAAATCTAGGATTGCAACACACTTATTCTGGTACAATAATACTCTTTGAGCTCCATTTTATCTGACTGTGGAACACAAAGTAATTTAAATAAAACCAAAAAAGTGTGCCTACAGTGCTTACCTAAGGTTTGTGGTAGGGTCAGACCCCTATGTGTTATTTCTAGGGATAGTCTGTAGTAGATGGTAGATTTCTATTTTGACTTAAGTACAATCTAATACTGACATATCTGTAAGTTTTGCTTCATATTTTTGCAATTATTATTATGCTCCATGGGTTACTGGTGAGGGTACATGCAGGCTGGAGCTTGGGGTGTGATTCCTAAAGCTCTGGGTTGCATCTGTATTTGATGTGCAATTGCCACAAGGCTTGAAGTTACTGTAAAGATAATATGGTAATTACCAAATACACATGTTTTTCGTACATGCTGTCTATGTTTCCAAAAAAAAAAACTTACCATGCAGAAAGATATTGGCAATCACCATAACAATAAATTCTACCTATTGTGGCTTCCTGCAGCTGTTTGGTGATCCCATGGCAAATGCGCATCTGAAATGGTAACCTGAAGGCCTATTTGTTTCTACTCTTAAAATTAACCTGTGTTCACTTTAACATTCTAAACTGTTACCATACATGTGTAGAAGACACCTAGACATAACCTGCATATCATGTCATAAGTTTCCTAGAGTACCAAAGAGCCCAAAAACCTAGGGTCTCTATTATGCAAATTTCAGCAGGCTTAGCAGTGGCAGTCCCTACTTCTAGATTGCAGTAGCTGTTTTAATTTGCATAACGAGTACCTTGGTTTTCTGATATCCCTGTGCTCTCTCTATGATATGTGACTTTTCATTCAGGTACCTCTAGATATCTTTTGTACATGTCTGATGACAGTTTAGAATGTTCCATTCCTTTAAATATAATTTTGGTGCCTTTAATGGGCTCCCCTAGAGGAATCCTGTGGATCCCTTCCAAAAGCTCTTAGTCTCTAGACATCTGCATAATAATTAAGCTGTGAATTTGGACTTTTAGCTAAATGTTGACAGTATATTCACTTATTCCTGGTTGGCCATAGTGCAGGTTTGCACAACTATGCTGATCTCATCCTTTGTGACCTATAATGTGCTGGACATGATTGACAAACTGGCACTTTCATCAGAATGCCATACTCGGGAAAAGTTTGCAGTACCCAGTGTTGAGATACACAATCTCGGGGAGAAGGATGGGGACATGATTTTGCACAGGTAAGCTACTACTAGAATACATATATGATATCTGGTAGTGGTTTTGCTAAATTCTGGTTCACTTTAATTATATAGTAGAATTTATGGTTTAGGAATTTCTTGAGTTGTCCTTTTTCTTGAAGACCCTTTTTGTGTTAAAATTATGGAAAAAATAGACAAACAGCCAAATTACATTTTCAGTGCAGTTATATTTTTTTTATTTAAATAACTTTGTTGAAAAACTGCATAAATAATTCTGAAAATATTTGAACACAACTTGTTGAATATTTCTTTTCATTTTGCTGCAATATACGCTAACTGTTGTCAGGAGTGTTCTTTAACTTTTGTTTTTAAAACCATATCTTGAGAGTGAGATATGTTGTAGATAGTTTCCACATATGCAATAAATAAAGTATCTTTTGACCAAGAACCAATTCTTATCAACCACTATGGAGAAACATTGTTACAAAAGTGCATTATTGAACTTAGCAGAGAGGTGATAGCAGTATAGACATATATATATATATATATATATATTTAACTACAAAATGTTTTTATTGCTCTGTTATTAATTTGTTCAGATCTTCCTTCATTTTGTTCTGATATGTCATGTTTGTCATATAAAGATTGAATAGTAAGCAAATTTGTGGGATATCTTAAAAAGTTGGTGTGTTGTGTCTGTTTTTTTATTTAGTGAGTTGCTAAAATAAATTAAAGGTTTTAATTTTTACATTTACTACCTATTACCATTTACCACCAAAGGAAATCCCAATCTGACCGCAAAAAAACAAGGTAAAATCCACCTGGATACACAAAGTAGTTGCGATCATATGTACAGTTTTAATAACCCATGTAAGTTTCAAAATTGGGTCTGGGTCTTAAGGTTTGTTTTACTCTTGGTCATAAAGGGGTTAAAGCAAGAAAATGGAACACTTTAAGAAAAAAATAAGGCATTTTGAAACTGGCAGCAACATGTCCTAAACAAAGTTGGGCTATGGCCATGTTTATCATGGTGTAGCATCCTCTCTTCTTTTACCAACGCTCTGTAAACATCTGGGAACTGAGGAGACCAGCTGCTGGAGTTTTGGGAGAGGAATGTTTTCCCATTCATGCCTGATACAGGATTCTAACTGCTCAACAGTCCTGGGTCTTTGTCATACTTTTAATTTCAAGATAAGCCAAATATTTTCAATTGGTGAAAGGTCTGGACTGCAGGCAGGTCAGTTGAGCACCTGGACGCTTCAAAGCCATGCTGTGTGTCATATATGCAGTATGTGATTTATCATTGTCCTGCTGAAATATGCAAGGCCTTCCCTAAAAAAAAAGACATCTAGATGGGTGCATATGTTGCTCTAAAACCTGGATATATCTTTCAGCATTGATAGTGCCTTTCCAGATGTGCAACGTTGCTCATTCCATATGCACTAATGCACCCTCATATCATCAGAGATGCAGAATTTTGAAGTAAGCACTGGTGACAAGCTGGAAGGTCACTCTCTTCTCTAGTCTGGAGGATATGGTGCCCATGGTTGCTAAAAAGAAAGTCAAATTTCAATTCATCTGCCCACAGAACACTTTTCATCTTTGCAACAGACCATTTTAAATGAGCTTTGTCCCAGAGAAGATAGTGGAATTTCTGGATCATGTTCAGTTATGGCTTCTTCTTTGCACGATAGAGCTTTAACTGCCATTTTGGATGGCATGGTGAACTGTTTTCACAGTAATTTCTGGAGGTATTCCTGAGCCCAGACAGTGATGTCCATCACAGAATGCTGCCTGTTTTTAATGCAGTGCCATCTAAGGGCCGGAAGATCATGGGCATCCAGTATTGTGTTTCAGCCTTGTCCCTTGCAGACAGAGATTTCTCCAGATTCTAACAACCTTTTGATGATATTATGTACTGTAGATGATGATATATTTAAATTCTTTGCAATTTTACATTGAGGAACACTATTCTGAAATTGTTCGACAATTTTTTTGAACCAGCTTTTCATAGATTGTTCAACCTCTGCCCATTGTTACTTGTGAGACACTCTGACTCTCTAAGATGCTCTTTTTATACCCAGTCATGTTACTGGCCTGTTGCCAATTAACCTAATTAGTTGCAAAAGGTTCTTCCAGCTCTTACTTTGGCAGTTTTTTTTTTTTGCCATGTACCAGCTTTTTTTTAGACGTATTGCTGCTATCAATTTCAAAAGTTTCCTTATTTATTTAAATTGTACATTTTCTCAGTGTAAACATTTGATCTATTTTCTATTGTGAATAAAATATGGGTTTATGAGCTTTGCAAATCATTTCATTCTGTTTTTATGTAGACTTTACACAGTATCCCAACTTTTTTTGAATTGGGGTTGTATAACACAGATAATCACTTTCTCAAGGTTAAAACAGTTAGGGTCTACTCACACCAGCAAAATGCACTGAAATTGCAGCCATTGGTGTTTGCTGTGAGACACAGTGCCAATATGCCAATCCCAGCACATTG